AGATTGCCGAACGAAACGTTGGAATTAGTCATTTCAATTTAGCTGAGATTTTACAAATATAATTTTATAAATATCTAAGCATGTGTTTGAGTTCTGGCAGAAGATTCTGAAAGCCCTCGAGAGGTCATCAGTAGTGAAGTATTTACCCTATTCAGAAGATTTTAACATTGATTCTGCAAAAGCCCAGTTTGCCTTACTTTAGTTCCTATATATTACTTGTTTTGAAGTGGAGGTATGAGCTGTATTGCTTCTCAGTGGAAGTGGCAGTGCACACATCACTGTTTTGTGGTGACTACCTGAAAACTTATAACCCACTAAGATTGAGAGGGGAATTATATCGTGACAGAATATAAGTCCAGTACGTTGTCACCTCTTGTAGGGATAGTGACAGTTTGTTTCCAGAAGAAAATGTCCAGGCTTCCGAAGAGCTTGTCATACTTAGCTGGGCCTGTCAATAAATCCCAGTTGATTTCGGGTAGGCTGAAGTCTCCACATATGATCTTATGCTCGTTTGGAAGAGTGGATACTTGCTCCTGTGTATTTATAAGTTGAATCTCGTAATCACTAAAGGTGCCATGTACATCCTATTAATAGTGTGGCACTTTTGAAGTGTACTTTGACCCATAGGGTGTCGTGCATGTTATTGAATTCCCTATTTTCTAGCTGCAGTACAATAAGTGTGTTCAGGAAGTACATTAGGCAGCCTCCCCCCTTACCACTATTCCTGTCACAGCGAAAGTGTATGTACCCATCGATGCTTATGTCTTCGTCTGGTATATTGGCGTGACACCAGGATTCAGGAATAATAATTATTGAGGGTTTATATACCAACGTGTGTGCCCTGAGCATCGGTAGTTTGTTTAGGATAGATCTAGCATTAATAAGGATTAAGTAAAGTTGAGAGTTGAAGTGGTGTTTGAAGTATTTAAGCTCGTCAGTCAGGCTCAAGTGTGGATCGGCATCCACTGGTTCCGCGTGGCATGACAACCCTGTGTTACGCCTAGTGTGAGTAGCATGTCCACCTAGGTCTATCGAGTTACTATCTTCTTTTAGTGAACAATGAGTTTTATAATTGTATTCACTACGGGATAAGGTAGTCCTAGGCTTGGGTAGGAGTTTTTATTTGACCGATGTTTGCACAAGTACTGGACGTGATTAATAATTCCGTGTGCACTAGCCCGTGTCTGTTTTCTTCCCGATAGAGAGCCGACATTAGTGGTTCGAGTTCAGAAGAGTTAACGTCCCAAATAGTTGTTTGGTCAGCGCTGACAGGGATGTGTTGGATAAAAAATCATTGGTACCTTGTGATGCCCATGACTTGTTAATCTGCCTGTTGTGCGGGGACATTCTAAGAGACCTTACATGGGTTTCGTTATATGCATAGCTGCAGTGTGGTTTGATTCCCAGAAGACTTGTTCCGTATAATCTGCCAAAGTTAGTCTGTGTGTCATAATTTGAAGACCTAGAGTGGTTTGGAGCAGAGCTGTGAGTGTTGTCACCTGTACCATTTTGCATGATGATGCTACTACACCAGCTATTAGTGTGACTTGGCATAGTATGCGAGCAAGTTGTGTCGTTATTGTCGGTGGACCATATGGACTTATTTGTGCTTTTAATGTGGTTGTTAGCACAGTTTTGTATATTGGCTACCTTACAGCGTGGATTCTTCCTAGGAGTTTGAAAACGTAGGGGATTTTTCGTTACGGGTGGTGTATTTCGGCATGTTTTGTCACCGAATTCCATTTGAATTCTCGCGTTATAGCTAAAAGAGGATGTTGTCGACTTACGAGATGCATTGATTTCTGTCTTAGGGCTATCCAGAGACGTATATTGATCCACGGTAGAGGGTGGAGGGGTTAATTTGGGAGTAAGATTATAATCCAGTAGCCTTTCGGCTGGTGTCCTGTCCTGTGAAGCTACTTTTGTGAGATTTGAGGGGGAGGCTATGAGTTCTACTGTGTTGGCCATGGGTTTATCCATTTTGGTGACTTGAGGTGTCTTGCCCTTCTTACCATTAGGTTTAGTGCGGTGACTGTAAGCATGTCTTCTAATCACTCTTTTATCTGTTATAACTTTATTTGTTTGTAACTCGTATCCTGTAAGAGGACACGTTGTGAATTGGTGAATTTCTTAGCTTCTGTATGTGTTTCAGACTGAAGGCGTATAGGGCAGCAATGGTCGTGCTGAGTCTTCTTCAGTCTGTGACACTTTGTTTGGGAGTTAGGCATTTTTGCCGCCCTAAGTAAGATGCACTGAACCTTTGTCAACCCCTCATTAACTGGTATAGTGTAGACTATCCCACTTAGTTTAGTATCCAGTCCCTTGATAACCTATATTGTGATGAAGTTTGTCAGGATGTCTACCTTAGTTACCGATTCTGTGACAAGTTCGCCAGGGTTTATGGTTCTGGTCAGGATGCTCGGAGGTGCAAGTTCACAGACCTGTGATTTTATATGACTCACCTGCGTTGATAATTTAGATATGCTGGCCAAATTTTCTGAAAATCCTGCGTTTATAGCCTTACTGCACTCTATATCCCGCATCTCAGTCTTCAGCTCTTATACAGACAGCTTTAGTCGTTCTACTCCTGAAATAAGTGTTGAAGGTGGACTTCATATCTGAAGTTTTGTGACGCGTACATAAGGTGTAGTGAAGAGGTCTATGTCAAGACCAGGTGCTGTATTTGTAGAAGCGATGCTACTACTAGTTGTCGGCATATTTTTGCTGTCAGTTCCAGCCACAGTAGATGGTAGTGACGCGACAGCTCCACACTTGAGGCGTATTGGCGAGATTTGTGACTCAGTTCCATATTTTGTGGGAGTTGTGTTGCTCGTTGTTGCAAGCATGTATGTGGTATCAGTTATCAGGTTAGCAGGTGACTGAGCTCGTGTCTTTTTTATATGATTAACAATAACTAATTAGTGAAAGAGTTATTGGTGACAAATATGGAACTGTGCGAGTCCCTCAACAAATATATATATTTAGCGAATCAACCTAAAGTGACCCAAAAGTTCAACGTGCTGGCTCAAATGTTCTTCCATGCAGGTTTTCTCAGTGATACCCAGTGGTGTCTCCGACTTTGCTCTGATTTGATCTGTAATGAAGGTATCAATCGTAGTTTGTCCTTCAGTTTCTGAATGTTGAACTTCAGTTGTGGCCAGCTTACAGCTGTTCTGAAGGACTTCAACTTCACTTTGAAGGTTCCTCTAACTAGATAATGGTCGGAGCCCACATCTACTCCACTCCTCGACTTTGCATCCAGTAGGGTGCGTCTCCACTTCCTTGGACAGCACCTAGAAGAAATCTGTTTTGTGGTGTGCTCATCAGGCTAAATACAAACCGCTTTGTGTATATCCTTGTGTTCGTACACGCTGTCTCATATCACAAGATAAATGAAAACGCGGAAGTCTGCAAATGATTATCCGTTCTCGTTCATTTCGCCAAGCGAGAGAATCTCGACCCATGATGGGTTCTGTTCCTTTATTATCTGCTCCCATTTTGACTGGCATTCATATCGCCTATAAGGATTTTGATGAGGTCATTCGAGATGTCAATTACTGTTTGTAGTTGTTTACAGAAATCTTTCTTTTTCTCTTGTTACGAGTTGTGTGTAGCAGTGTGGATAATTGTAACCTTCCTTTTGAGTTGAATCTTGCTGTCGTGATCCTGGATGAAATTGGTTCCCGCTGCACTAGGGATTTGCCAGCCACTGGCGAAATCACGATAGCCACTCACTGCCTCAGTGCCCTCGTGGTTGTTGTCTAGATGACTAGACCGGAGTAGATTACCGACTCACCAGCTGCCAGTCCGAGTCCATTCCACATGGTCCTGTAGATTCCGAGCACTTCTATGCAATATCTTCTCACTTCTTTGGCTAGCTTGACAGCCTTTCCAGCTTCGTCAGTTGTACGTACATTCCACCTGTCCATTCTTATTCTTGCTTCCATCTACGGAAAGCAAATCGGCCGACTGCCTTCCCGAAGGAATTTATCAGCTCTCTGTGTCATTTTTCCTCTTCGATTCCAGCGACATTTGTGTTTCCTTTTTATATTTCTTATATTTTCAATACTTTCATTGTGCGTTGAAGTTTCTGTAGCAGTTTGGTTTGGTTTGTGGGTTAGGTTGGTTAGCCACACACCAAAGCCTCACTCTTTACCCGGGCTTAGGACCGAATAGAAAACTAGCAAGCTAGCAAACTAGGCTAGGTTACGGACTGATGAAACCTATATTTGTTCGTGTGAGGACATAGGAGGCTAAACTGAATTACGGAAATAAATGTGCTCGCTGAGTATAATCAAGTGAATCATTTGATCGATTTGGAGTCCATTGCCATGGAGTCAATTGATCGCCTTCACAAAAAGCTGCCAACCCTGAGAAGTTAAACGTTAATTGTGATAGTTATTCAGTTGAGAAAGCACACTTTAAAACTGTTATAACAACGGATTATCTGTATTTTAGTCGCTACGTAGAGTTTGAAAATGCACTAATGTAGAGAAGGTTCAAAAAGTTGAACCACGGTAGCACAAATTGTAGTTCTAAACCCAGGAAAATTGGCAAGGCGAAAACAGCAGTTGAGCTATGATGTATATGAGATTTTTGTTTCCGTAACAAGACAGAAGCATAACTAATCAGGACTGGTGTTAAAGAATTGTGAATCAAGTCCATAATAAGTATGTCAGAGCCCAATATCAAAGGAATACTAGTGATTTCATGGATATATCTGTCGTCAGAGGATAAGTTATCACTAAGGGACAGACTTCCTTCAGAGCTACTGGAATAAGGCATGTTTTAACGATTAATAAACATCGAAATTTCTAAATTTTACTATTGATGATAACGGACACCTTTGAAGGACTACTTTCTGTAAGTGGCAACCATTTGTCTTGCAACTAAGGATTGGAGGAATAAAATTTCATGGGGTGATGCAAACGAATGCAAACACCATATTTTACCAAAATTGCTGTGGTAGTGAAAGTTGATCAAGTTTGTTTCTGCTGGCTCGCATTGGCGCGCAACCACTAATTAGTTGTCGCGCGTGGTTGCATTGATTTCTCTGAATTTAGCTACGTCGTGACACTATGAACGGCAAGACAGATGAATCCGGCGATAAAAGCGTTGGCACATCAAACATGATTTCGGAACCCATAACCGAGTCATCAGAAATGACATCGAAGGATTATTACTTCGACTCATATGCCCACTTTGGAATCCACGAGGTATGTTTTCAGTGCTGTATAATGTTCCATTCAGGAAATGTTGAAAGACGAAATTAGAACACTCACGTATCGTAGTGCTTTAATTCACAACAAACATCTCGTTAAGGATAAAGTGGTACTAGATGTGGGATGTGGGACTGCAATTCTCTGTTTGTTTGCAATCAAAGCAGGTGCAAAGCATGCGATTGGGGTAGCTGTGTATTTTTACGTTTATTGTTTTTAGATTGAGTGTTCTAACATTATTGATCGGGCAAGAGAGGTCGTCCAAGCTAACAATATGGCTGACAGTAAGTTTCTGCATAATAAAGAGGAAATTATATTTCTTACACTTTACTAACTGCAACTTTTGTCTTATAGAGATAACATTAATCAAAGGGAAAGTTGAAGAAGTCGAACTGCCTCCTGAATTCCCTAAAGTTGATATACTTATTAGTGAATGGATGGGCTATTGTTTATTCTACGAATCAATGTTAAACACCGTCATTTTTGCCAGAGACAAGTGGCTGGTAAGCGTTGGACATGCATTTTATTTCCCTATACCCTGTTGGTTATTTGTGAACAACAGTAGCCATAGGTAACTACTATTATTTTAAAATATTTTCGAACTACAATAGGTTGGTTAACAAGTGGTGAATATTGACAAGGGTCGTACAACCGTTGGAAGATAGGTTTTCCTCACACAGCGTGTCTGGTTAGGCAATCCGTGTTGTCCAATAGACCCAAAGTACCTGGAAGATAGTAGATTGTGTGAAATCACGTCGAATGAAATTAGTAAGAGCCCAACCCGGTGTTGAACTAATGAATTTTAAGTAGCAGCAAGACATTTTTCAAATTTTTAATAACCTGAGATAATTCGTTCCACCGGCGGTCATAGCCACTCATGCCTGAGTAGTAGAATTTGGGCAAACATAGTATAGTAAGCATTCTTACTGTTATCAGTCCGTATACGTACGAGTAGGAAAGATTCGATACCAAACTTTAATAGCATGCTCCTTAGTCAAATATGGTATCCAAATGGTGTATAATTGCACGGTATTTAGTTTTTAGCTCGTAGATCGCAGGTTAATAGTAATTGTCACACAAGACTTGACAGTCTTATTATTTTCATCCAAGCCAAAGTGCAGGTTGTTAGTGACACTACAAATCACGTCTGAATAGACTATATCTTGGTATGCTTCACTGGTCCTTGATAGAGTTTTGCGAATATATGTCCAACAAAAGTGTTAAAGGAAATTGAAGTCAGTTGTAAATATGCTGAGGAGACATTCATGTGACATTACATTACAGAAGGTAACGAAAATAAGCGGCAAATGGTTCAACATCCTAAGGTGATATGAAGATCATGAGAAGAAATAAAAGTCTGTGGGCAGTGCCGAAGCTATCTAGAAATTGTATTCGATATTCAAACGAATGCGTGCTGCTGAATATTTTGTTCCGTTCGGGAAGCTGGACGGATAGCGTAATACTAATGAATGTAGACGTAAAGTTAATACTTGCGCTGTTAATGTATGCGACAGTCAAGTATACGTACTTCTGTATTTTTTCTGTAGGCCCCTGGAGGTTTGATAATGCCTGATCGTGCAACTCTTTATGTGTGTGCTATAGAAGATAGACAATACAAGGATGAAAAAATTAATTGTGAGTTTAGTAGCTAAATTCTTTTATTCAACTTATACGCAAGATTCTGTTTCATTATGTATTGGTAACTCGCAATAGTGATGGTGCGCATGGTGAAAAAGATTTTGTCCCTTGAAGGGGGCTACGATTTTTTGTTTTTTGGGGACAGAAGTTGAAGTCTGAGAAATCTAGACTGATATAAGATAGGAAATTGGACACCGAGTCATAGTATGATTACCATTTAGTCTGTGTGTGCAGAATATTTCCTTTGGTTTGTACGTCTCTTCTCGTTGGTTTGGTAATAACCTTTGTGCCTCATAAGCTGCAATTCTTGCTATATTTATTGAGATACCACCCTACTTTTCGGTCAGTTACGCATTTTGTTAGACTTCAGTCAACCTAGACATAAATATCTAAGGCGTGATTACAAGTAACACATTCACCAAAAAGAAATAGGGAGTTATAGAGTATTATATATTTTGATATCCTCATCTTGAACCTGTGATTTTACTTTTCAGCATTTGAATAAATTGTTTTTCTCCACTTTTCAGGGTGGGATAGTGTTTATGGTTTCGACATGAGCTGCATAAGAAAAGTTGCACTCACAGAACCACTAGTTGATGTGGTTGATCCTAATCAAGTTGTGACAAATTGCTGCTTGGTTAAAGAAGTTGATATGTACACAATCACAGTTCCTGATTTGACATTCAGTTCGCCTTTTACACTCACCTGCAAAAGAAATGACTACATCCAAGCGTTGGTGACATTTTTCAATATCGATTTCACTGCCTGTCACAAGCCGACAGGCTTCTCAACAGGTTAGTTTTCAGTTATTTGGATATATATTACCATCTCTCACATAATACAGTCCCTCAGGAAGAATATATTTGCAAGTTTTGGATCAAAGCATCTTGATGTAGGTCACTAATTTAAGCAGTTGGTTTCCAGACACAAGGCCACGTTATCCAAGTACCACCTGATCTCGGTCAGTTTGTGACTCATACGTTTATGCATACTTACCTGAATGGATATCAGAGTAAACAAAGAAAGACGAATACTTTTGAAATTACTTCACTGCGTGAAGAGTATCTTACTCGTCGAACTCTCGGAATACATGTCTAAAAATAAGTCGACGTGCTACAGTAGAAAACTTTAAAATTGTCACATTATGCAGAGCTCCCATATAGATATCTTTTATACTCTTCACGTGAATATTATTCTTTCTTTTACAGGTCCGGACGAACGTCGCTACACTCACTGGAAACAGACTGTATTTTATCTAGATAATGGTGATGATGACTGTCTTACTGTGAAGAAAGGCGAAATAATAAATGGTCTGATGTCTATTAAACCAAACGCTCGAAACAATGTAAGTTGAATTGTATATTATGCGATTTCTTAAATTGTTGCCTATCATCTTTGAGATTCTAATTTAATTCATGCGTAACAGCAACCCGGCCAGTTCATATCGTTTGATTTGCAAACTGTAAGACGTAAGTTTGATCGTGTTCTGCACATTGTGGATTTTCCACAAGCATGAATACGCTCTGTTGGCGAGGGAATGTGTGGTTGGCAACCTAAATGGCTACTCATTTACAAGTTTAGAGGTTGAAATGGACAAATTATGTGCAAGCGATAGGAAGTTGAATGACTTTTGTTAAGTGTAGGCGTCATTGAAGGACAGGAATCATACTGGTCAGCTAACAGTCTCCTGCATATCTCATGTCTTCAGTAATTTAGAGTATAAATATAGAATACTGTTAGCATGCCATTGCTATGAACCATCTGGATTATTTAGTATTTCCTAAATAATCAAGTGACAACAGCGATGAGTGTCAGCGCCCCAGTTCAACAATCGTGCATGGATATTATCGATTTTCCATATTGTATTATTCATAAGAGTTGCAGTATTTGGTTTGTGGCCGCGTATTACAGTGTCTGGTCTCACTAAAGTAGTGGAATCTAGCAGTTTTTTTAGCCTTCGGACATATGTGACCGTAGTATTTAGGTATGATAGTGTTTGCTCCGAATACTGAATACACAGATAAATGTATGCACGAAGCGGGTTGGTTGTGTAAGTTCTTTAAGAAACAGTTAACATAGGGTGGTTTGAATGAATCAGTTGAAATTAGACAACGCTTGAGTTAGTTATTCGTCTTGTAGTGACACAGGTTCATAAAGGTGCATCTCTGCGCTTTAGTTGCGTTAAGTTTATATAGTGTACCACACAACTGCGTCCTGCAATGTGCGCATCTGCATTTTCACTCGAACAGTGGCGGAACTTACCTCAATCACAACCTACCAGTTAATAAGCATCATTTTCTGAGGCAGATGATATGTGTAAGTTGCCTGTTCTACTCCTTGCAAACTATTCGAGCACTCACTGCTAGCAAGAAAATTGAACAGTGAAACATTTCCAATCTTTTTTGTACTTTTCACATAAAGTATCTCGAAATCTTTTTCTTTTTTTACAGCGGGATCTTGATATCAACATAAAAGTGGAATTTGAAGGAGAATTGTCCTCAATTGATGCAATGTTCAACTACCGAATGCGTTAGATTGTACTTTACAGTTGCTTTAAATCAGACTACACTACTCAATATTTCTGAGCACCTGATTTTATATTTCTCTTATTGCCTTTGGTGTGCAAAAGCATTTAATTCGTACATCTTGAAGCCACCAGATTTGTTAGAGCATTCCCCTTCAGTATTGTAACTTTTCGGCCTGCGCGTGTACTATCACGTTTTGTCTTCAATTTCTACTGGATTTTTAAAAATAAATGAATATGATGCGCAATTTTTTGTAGTGAATCAGCAGATATGACGGGGAAAGATAACGCTTACGTAAGAACCTCGAAGGTCGGTAGTCAAAACGTGCGACTGCGATGGAATCAGCCACTGTATTTAACAATAGCCGGAAGGTACCCAGCTCACCCAAGGCACCAAGAGCAAGAAGTATTGGATCACCGATACGGTCTGTTAAACAGGTGGTACGCCGATCTTGGGTACAGTGAAGGTCAATATGGAATGCGGGTCCGATTGTTTGGATACGTGCTACGGACGTCACTATAGAGGCTGTCGTAACGATCGCTGTCCGGTAGACCTGGGCGGAGAGGTGGTCATCCTGTGACGTGGAAATATGTAATGAAGGATATTTGCGTAAGGTAAGCATCAATTGGTGTGTCACGGGTCTGTTTTTAGCAAGAGACTAGAGTATTGGTTGTTTTATTCGAGCAGCAGTGAGTCAACAGAAATGTGTCCATTATAGGTGAGTTAGTATGGAAAGGAGCTTATCACTGGTATGTGAACCAGCGATAAACACCGAGCAAAAGTGACTAAAATTCGAGCTTGGTATTATCTATGTTGCCAGTGGTTGTAGGCTATGTGTCTGCCAGGTAATAAGGTATCACGAAGGACTGCAGCCTTTTCCGTGCATTTGGCCTCCTCCATATTCGTGATCACTTTGGAACTGAAGTTACTGCAACGCATAACAGTAATTGAGCAAAGCACAACCACCGTCCATCGCTGTCAGTCTAGCAGATCTAGATAAACTTGGTCACTTGGAGAAAAATTGTTTAACCGCCGTGAATCTACTTAATGCTCATACCTTATTGCATACTTACCAAGTTATGTTTGGTCGATCGGCAACCAGTGTTTATGCTGGGCACCATGGTTGAAATGTTGTCCGCATTCATCCTCACTATAGAACCCCTGAAAATGACGGGATGTATGCGCAACAATTTCTAAATGCAGACAGCACACATCAAACCAGCAACACTGCAGAGTTGGTTTTGCCATCCGAAGTCTATTTTAGGCTTATGAGGCATAGCTTGAGGGTTGGGGGCGTGTTTGACTACCTGCATCATATTTAAACGCTGAGACCGTGTAAGGTAATTTGAATTCTCACTTCGTGTGTTTGTAGTGGAATTCTGACCGTCTTCTAACTGATGCCTTTCTAGAACATCGATCCTGATTTCTACAGAATGCATTGTGAGATGAAGTAGGAGGAATTGAGTGTTCTGCTTATCGAAAACCAGTTAGGCCGAAGTAATCTGGTAAGTATTTAAGCACCATGATGCAGCGTTTGTAAGCGCGATTCACCAAAAACGATTTACTTCTTGTCAACGAAGATATTGTCAAAAGCAGTACAAACGTATAGCGATCCCCACAGGTACGAAAAGGTCATGCAATCTTATGCTTTTAGTTATGACCACGCATAGCTCTATTAAAATTAATGACGGTCGTTCTATTGTTGATTGGTTTTTTGTCAATTGCTCCGCAACAATAACAAGTGCCTATTTCCATAGATAATGATGTTACTCTTTAGTTTAAGCACGGTTTCAGCTACACTTACTTTAGCCGAAGCTAGTGGGTAGTATTATTAGCATTCACACAATAACTGTGGCTCACTACCCTGGGTACATATGAAATATGTTCTAGGTAACTGACTAATAAAATTCTCCAAACTATAAGAATAGAATTCGGGCACTGGTAGATTATAAATCTATATTAGAATACTTTTATTTGACAAAAAAAACAATGATACAAAAGTATTATTTCTTTGACTGTGTGCTTACGTACAACACTTTAAGGTGTGACCAACAGTATATTTGAATAAAGTATATTACAGAAAGAAATTTAGATAAACCATCTGGGTTTTGATTTTGTCTAGAATCTTTAAAACTCAACGTAAGAAACAATGCTGATACAGACTGCCAGTAAAAAGCAACATACGAATGTTTGAGAACAACCACCGCAATGAAGAATAAATAAATATACAAATGTACAAGTGAAGTTGCTTATTCTTTTAATTGTTTAAGTTTCTCTTGATTATTGATCTGAAGACGGTTACGCGAAATTTCTATTGCAAGGAACTGTATTCTAGGCACTGTAAAAATAATGATAATTAGAATACATAAGAAAGAGAAAATAATATTTCCTACCAACACATGTGTTTTCTGGACAATATCCTTTCGAAGCATCAAGTCTCAACAGAGTTCCAAAGTTGAAGTCTTCAACTTTATTTTCAAATTTGTTACAAAATATCCACCATTTCTAGATAATTTGAATTAAGAAAAAAACAACAACAAATGAAATGAAAGTCTATACAAGAATCGGTGGTGTTAGTAAATGTGTAGCTGAGTTATTCACAGTCACTGCTTAAATAGATCTGTATTGCTTTAAAACGATAATATCAAACTGTTATCAACGATAAATGTGGTAGAGGATAAGACTGAATGGATAACTTTGCAAAGTTGTGTGAGCAACACGCATGACTGACTATCAAGGTGATAATAACGTTTTTACATGAAGTATTCAAGCATCAGCATTTATGCTGCCAACATCACATACGTAAAGAATACATTGAAAGCAATATTTTAATTGAAATCATAAAAAACAAGGCTTAACCTGCATCAAATACTCGTCTGGAATATATTGTTATTAACCGAAAACATTTTTGTCACCTAAATTTCTGATTTGTTAATTATAACCTAGACACAATTCGCAAATGATGCAACAGTAAGCGATTGTCTGATATCCTTACAAACACCAGGTATTCTATTCCTTAATCATCTCGATGGTTGAGTGTTTATTGATAGGCAGACGTGTCTAAGACTAGTTATTAAAATATGAATAAAATACTCATTTGTACTGACTGACCACTTAGTTCTCATTAAATCCTTCTGGTCAAGTTTGTAATATGGTTAGAAAACAAACAGACTGTGAACTGTTACATGATTGAGAGTAATCAACAGAAAGTTGTGTACTAAAGGTTAATGCTTTATTAGCACTCATGAGAAAGATGTACCTGCAACTACGGAGGGAGTAAGGCTGTCTCAAAAATTTCAATACGTATCAATCACCCAGTGCTGTAGCCAGGAATGTTACCACTGGAGTTGCTCGAGCTTTAACAGTTCAGCGTGAGTAGCAATGAGCAAGAAATCTAGATCCAGGATTTCCTGTCGATTGTTTATCAATGTTTAAATATATAAGTAGGTGAAATATTTACATAAGTATGCTACTTACTTTTTTGGACTCCCTTGATTTTAACAAATCTTCCGAAATGATAGATAAATTTAAATCACTAAATGTCTTCATAAATTCTTCAAATATAACGTCATCTATAGCAGTCAGTCTGAGTTGCGACAAGTTGGGAGCTGAACAAAGCAACTGGAAATAAGCTTCTGAATGACGGAAACACTTTTCAGCCCACTGCATTTCAATAATAGGCTAAATTTTGTTGAAATAAAATAATGGACAATGAAACCAACTTGATGCGGATATAAATCATCAACTCATAAGATAGAGCGAACAAATGTTTAATTTCTTTGTAATGATTATAACTTATGAAATTTAGTGTTCGTATATTATCGATAACCTCCGAAGGTCGGAAATCACCAGTTATTAGGTTGTACACACCATTGGATTAGATGATGCCGTGCCCATTTCATAATTTAATTTTCCTGTCATAGAGTTGTCAGCACATACTGTTGAGGAATCCCATACTGGGACGGAAGAACTGTCTAGTCAGCCTTAGTTTTTGAGGAATTTCTAACAGACACTGGCTCACTGTAAGACTAATGTTTAGCATGTGGGAAGCTCAATCAAAAGTTTCTCAGTAATTTTGCGGCTGTTTGAACTCAAGTTCTCCAAAGTATTAATATGCTCTTTTATGTTTGGACATTACGGACATAATGGGGGTACAAGTTGTATGGATTGACGAATTCACTGGTCTGATGATGCTTTAGAGACGAGGGAAGAGAGTTGTACAGCAGTCAGTTACATAAAATCATTATCTTAAAGATAAGAAAGAATAAATCAGTTTATGAGAAAGCTTAGTATATGTCCTCTTATCACTTTTAGTCGTACACATTCACATCACAAAGCAACTATTCATGATAAACCAAGTTAGATATACTGTTAAAAATAGTGTTTTCGATTCGCTTTGTGATGATTTGATTTTAGTTACTATACATCATACAAGAAAACTTATAATTCAAGAAACTCTTGGCTCCATGTATAGTTATATTATTATTTCCATTATACCTGTAAAGCGTATATTTGTAGCAGGTTGTGATGACAATTTTGTCGTGTAACTGTTGAATTTCTGTTAAAATAAATTTTCGTGACAATTACATATGCCTACAAAATGAATAACCTTCACAATCAACCCGAAGTTAATCTTTGGAGACATAAAATAAAACGAAATATCGTTATGTATCACATTTAACTATGTTTTTAGTTTCGAAAATAAAAGTCCATTGAACGAGAAACTCAGTCATTGAAAGAGTGAAAGCGGGTTTGTTTGCACCTAGTCTTTACATAGTATGTCTACAATTTAAGCGAGTTCTTATAGTTACGAAGTAACAACAAGTTATAAGTAGGTTAGCTATTTATTTATCAAAATAATACTTACATCGTTGACATATTTTTCAGCATCATATGATAACATACTGGATTGATGAAGACGTCAGAGGTCCTGCGAAAATGAATAACTGAAGAGAAATGAAGTATACATCAGACAGTTATATTCGCAAAGATGGACATTAATGAATTCATATACAAACTGATTATCAACAGTGAAAAAAAAACACTTAAACAATCCTTTCTACTTATACAGCAAAACAGTGTGAGAGTAAATGTAACGAGGAAACATAAACTCATCCTATTTTGTGAATCCTTTCAAAAGCTTTATCATTTCCACAGTATTAAAATACTTACACTACGAAATATACGCAGATTTACTAAGCTTGTAAGGAGTTATTGATATCATTTGAAATAGAAATACATCAAAAGTATAGCAAACAGATAAGCTAGGTGAAATGGCTAGATAATTTAGCAGTAAGTGTTTTGACAGGATGGTTAGGTAGATAGTATTTTAGTGTAAGGTAGTTGAGGATCTGTGAAGTAAAATGAAACAATAATATAGCAACACACTAGATAATATAGGGTTAGTCTGACCACTGAATTACGACTACTAGATGATTTTATACACAATGAACATCTCAGGGAAGTTCGAATCAAGTACACACTTTAATTCAGTGTTCTGAGCGAACAATAAAATCATGCATATTAGCATTTCGTTAAATAAAGAAACTTGCGAAAAGTCAAACGTGGAAACTACAACACTTAAAGGTAGCATCAGGTTTCCGGTGAGTGTCTTAAGCTGAATAAAAAAACTCGTTTAACATTTGGAAGGTTGCGACAATCTTAACGCCAGTGTGTCATTTGACGACCTACCAAAGGGTAAATATATTGAAAAGTGGTTCTCTTAGTCTTGTTAATAAATTACTACTACGGCTTACTTTGGGAAATACTGCAGGTTTCCGTCTATAGGTGCCTTTGCTGAATAATACAGAAATATTTACACGAGCGACGTTGACTGAAGTAGGACTGTTTGAGAAGAAATAGGCGTGACTAAACAATATAGCTACGCGCAAGGAGTTTGAGAACGCACTGACATTTTTCATACACTGAAAAATTTTTTGATTTTTCTGTTACTTCGACTTAGAATTACATCTACCAGCAAGTGGTTGACTGCTATAGAGATTAACTCAATAGTCAACAGAGAACCTAATACAAACTGTAGCAGCACAAGTTACCACACTTCGGAAAATTACACACAAAAGAGAAGCGAACATCACAAAAGCAGACGCAAAATTAAATAATGACCATATGATGCTTGGTGGACATTTTCAAACTCTGGAGAGTAGAAAGGACTGAATAAATCTGCACCAGTTTTGGGCCACATCACCAAGAATTGACGAGCGCTGATTCCTAGTATACTAAAAAACCCCAGCCAAACGATCTACACGTTAATGCCACACAAATAAAAAAACGTAGGTTCGGATCACAGTTTTAAACACCAGATAACAGTACACAAAGTGAGGAAAAACAGCCCGTATCCGATAAGGCTGTGACTGATGGTCTATTAGTATTCAATTGTCAATATTCAGAGGTTATATAAAGAGGTGGGATAGTTCTGCGCATATGCCCCTAGAAGTATACAGCACATGATATTGAAACGTGTACCACCACGTATCCACTCCTTGTGACTTATGATTTCCAATGAAACCGTTTTGTTCTTCGTCATTACTATTCCTTTGTCTCACACCTCTGTTTACTGTCTATATTATGCATTTCTTCTACTTTCTCTTCCTTTGTGTGCTACATGGAGTGTGGTGACTTGAACTGCCGCACATATGTGCAAAGTTCTATGTCGAAAACCAACCGACCGACCACAGTCAGACTAATTACCAGCTTCATGGGGTGTGATGTATCCGCTATAAAATAAAGTGGAATAAATGATATGCCACTTACCACCAATTGCAATTAAACACAGTTAGCAGTGAGCCACAGGTATTCCGTGAAGGTGGTGATACTGCCTAGATGCTCTAACCTCAGCAAGTGGAGCGTGGTTCGAGCCGGTGACTCACTGGTCGGAAGTCGAGCGTCTAAAACAATGAGCCGCAGCTCCTCATGTTCATAATGATTTACACTGAAGTTCAATTTGACAGCATGATGAGTTTTTACAAAGGCACTCATGGCAAGAGAATTAATGTGAGAAAACCTCTGGTTTGAAATTTCATTGAGCTTAAGGGTGATGTTAAGGTGAAAATGAAGTAAAGCACTCTGTACATTTATATTTACAGGTTAACGAGTTATGTATCTTGATATTTCCCAGCTAGCATTATTTTCGGGCGCATTGCAGAACGTGGGACATTGAACCTAAGCCTGCCCCAACAAGTCTGCAATGCGCCCTGAATCTGTCTCAGAGAGTCTGCAGTGCGCCCGAAGTTTGCCCCAAAAAGTCGACTAGCGTTACTTCAGAACGAAATGACTTAGTTCAGCACTCAGCTCTCTGTTTAAGCACGATCAGCGTTATTTCATAACATAGATAAAATCTTCACTTATGATAAAAAGGCATTATCAAAGAATAGGTTGGAATAAGTTTAGAATTGTTGTAAGCTGTGTTTTCACTTAAGTGTGATGTCACGAATGCAAATTCTTTCGTTTGTGTTTATTGCTTAAGGATAACTGGTGTTGTATAAATTAATTATCTTATGACAGCAAATGATAAAAACCTCAGGCTATATCCTATAGCTACCTTTTCGCTGCGCAAAACGTGCTCATAGGCAAACTAACCTTGATGTTGACCTTCAGAGCAACCTTCAAGCCCTCCAGCAAATTTTTGGTTGATACAAACAAATGTAGTTTCAAATATTTTAGGTAGCCGGTTAGTATCCTGCTTAACACTAAATTATGGGCCTTATTTCGCTGAGAATGAGTGTCAGAGGATTTTAAACCCCCCTGTTTTCAATAAATTTTGCGTCGGTGGCACAGCGATTAGAACTCTCACAGACCATGCACATGGTCCGGGGTTCGATCATCTACCGACGCACACCTGATATCGATGGCCAGCCTGCAAAACTTGGGCTACCGATATCATATGCTGAAAATTCCATACCTGCACCAAAAAAGGCGGTGTGGATTCAAGCTGTAATCAAAAATAAAAATAAAATAAATATCGAGACGAACTCTGGACGAAGGCAGTTACACATTAGTTGATGAATCTCTAACCGAATGATTCCTAAGTCTCAAAATCTATAGAAGACAAGTGAAACAGAAGGCACCTAAATGAATCACTGGGAGCACTGATATTAAGTACTCATGAATACAAAACTGAATACAGATAAAATCCTTTTAGCTGCACTCCACAATATTAGATTGGATTTTTACATCCATTTATAATTCTTGCGCTTCTGTCTCACCTTAACGCATCTGTTTTATACTCGAATTATATTATCGCTGTATGAATCCTACAATCAAAGTTCGCATTCACAAAATTCGTACACAAAGCTAGGAACAGAGCTATCGAAGCTTATTCAGGGATTCCTGTTGGGTTGATCCATTATCAACTGATTTATTTAGGCCGTGTTTTGAAAGTGGTTTTTAAGATTACCACTTACATTTCCTCCCAAGTCACTGAAACCTGTCGACAACATATGAGGGTACTTAATTTCCTGGAGTAATCAGTTGACGTAGAGTGAGACAGCGTGGTTACAGTGAAAAATACCTGAGAAACTCCACAAGGCCGACAGCTGTAATATCAGTAGAGGTATTATTGTGAGATGTTGCTCTACATTCAGTTCCGCCAACTAACAGGGCGTGATAACGCTTCTCGGGAAGACAGGCACGTTGTTTGTTTGAAAACCACTGATAATTGATAAATAGTTTTTCAATTCTGTTCGTTCATATAACACTGTCGTCTGATTCTCCAGGGTATACTGACCGTCGTTTCCTCTCTCCCCTTAAACTGGCTGTATTACTCCATCGTTGTACCCTGTGCTTGTTTCACAGTGACTTCACCTGCAATAAATGTCTTCATTATATTTCTCGGGCTAAAAGTATATCCTGGGCTTATAGATTTTGCAATGAGTAACAAGGAGAGTATAGAGAAACCTGAATATTTGCTCTTCCATGATCAAATCCCGTTTCTTTTAATAGGCTGTGAAGCGTTATTTTGCCGGGTGTTTTTCCAACGCTGATTAGAGCGACTGGATGGGAGTTATGTTCTTTGTAAGACTAGGATATATGTAAATAGAAATAAAAGCGGCTGATATATGTTTTCAGTTAGTGCCGTTAATGTCTGTAATGGCGATTACTGTGGTCTTCAGATATTCTTAAATAAAACTGGTTTCTTTACGAAGTCCTACCGGAAAGCAGTTATGAGGCATTCATCAAAACGTTTTGTTGACACCAGCCTGAACCTAGGCTTCTTCATAGCACGCTTTTAAGGAGTATTTTTTCATTCTTTATGGAACTCCCTCATCCGCCGACATCTTGGATCCATGAGATAGTCCTTATTATATGTTTTCCCGGACGCCATATACAAAATCTCACGACACTTTCTAGTTCATGGTGTTCAGGTTTGCACTGCTTGAAGACGGACAACATATACATATTTTTTATCACTCTTTGTGTCTCTGCAGTTATTTAGACCATCTTCGGGTTCAAGGTGAATCATCTGCCTTCTCTTACGTTTCATGTGATTTATCCTACTCTCTGTCTGATAGAAGTTGGCTTTTACTGACAAGTTATTACATCCAGCACTTGGTTTCAATGATTTTACTTCATATATATGAGCGCAGATTGAGATAAAACCGAGTTTAGTTGATATCGTCATTAAGTATCCATAGGAAAAGCAGCGGGAACTACGCTATCAACCTTTTTCTGTAGCATCAAGTCCTAGATGATGCAGAATCGTTTGTGAAAATAAAGGGTAATCCTATAGACGACTTAATGAGACATCCTCGACACAATTAATCAGTTGCTTGCATACAAACGCTTTCTGAGATCCTTGAGATAACGGTGTAACCATATTTTTATAAGGCTCGTTAAGGTTGTAGTGGTAAAGAATCTCCTAAAGTCATTAGCTCACAGCTCTCCCCATTCATAACGGATGCTAAACTTCACCATCCAGGTTAATCGATAAGGCTGGAGGTATACTATCAGACATCTAAGTCACATTTTTTCCTTGAAGTTCCCCAGTGGAACATAGGGCTTCAAGCTAGTGGCTTGAAGTTTCTGTAGCAGTGTTTATTTTACAAGATGGGGTTGCTAGCCTCATGTCCAATCTTTCCTCTTCACCAGCATTATTTCTGGCTTAGCGAGGCAAAGGAGCGCATCGGTCTGGAATCGAACCCCGGACCATGTGCATGGTCGGCGAGCGTCCTAACCGCTATGCCACCGACGCACACCTAAGTCATATGGCACCCTGTCATTTTATGTCGGACAGTTTGTACAAGCACCCTAGACAGTTGAGCGGTCAGCACCGCTCTAAACTTCTGATTCCGAAATATATTTCACGTTTAGTAAGTTCAATTTCTTGTTTTGATTTAAATATGGCCCAAGTAAAACAAGTAATTTGGGATTTGGAGGGTATACACATGCGCTTGAATACAGCATATCTATCACCCTTCTATACCATTGAGCTCGATGTAATTCCCTTGATGAATATCTGACGTTGAGTTCTGAAAGTAAATGAGTGGTTGGATCTTGTGTAAATGACACATTCAGAGCTAATCGCCAAATGTTGAAAGTGACGTAAAGCACATTACATAGCCAGAAGCCATGTGCCGGAGATACTGTGCTTTGTTGCCATTGTTTGCAGCCGCCTCAAGGATTAAGCAAGTGGTTGCTGCTGTTTGTTGACCGGTGGTTGTAGAACCTCACTGATCGCTGTGTCATAGGCATCGACTGAGATAATTGAGAGAGCTGTTGGATCCTGAATCATTCGTTAAATGACATCCGCAATGGCTTTTTCACTTTAGTGAAGACGCTCTTTGAGGACGCACAGAGACCTACTTGCTTACTTTTCCACAGGGGGATGTCAGTCATTCTGGTGAAGAGAAATTTGGGAACAAGCTGTTGGTAACAATTTACCAGGCCAGTGAAAGTGCGAAGATCTTTTACAGTCTCTGGCTTCGGAATGTTTAAAATTGCCTCTGCTTCAGCGGTCAGCAGGCGGATGCCTTTGCGGCCAGTGGTATGGCCTAGAAAGTCTGGCTGATTCCACTCCTGTTCGCCATTTATGAATATTCATGATAACATGTCAACATAACGTGTTCAAGGCCGGATCCAGGTGTTGAAGATGAGCTCCCTTTTATGAACTTGCAGTATGAATACTTGAGTACTAAGTCAATGTTGCTGAATACTTCGACAGTAAGGCACTGGAATGTTTGTATTGCCTTCCGAAGAACAAGTAACGTACGTTGGAATTAAAACGACCTGAAATGAATAATGATAGCTGTGTTTGGTAGGTCATCCGGTACCATCGGAACTTAGTCTATTTCTAGAAAAATAGTTTTATCGGACATTGTCGCCGCAAAGTCGTGTATTTTTGGTGGTGGGTAGTAGCCTAGTATAGTTTTGGCGTTCAGTCTTCGGCAATCATCGACGTATCTCAGGTCGCAGTTATCTTTCTTTAACTCCACATAAAGAACGGATGTCAGTGGGCTATTCGACAGGTGAATAATGCCAACATTTAGAACATGGTTAAATTCCACAAGCCCCTTCTACGCTTCTCCATTTGTAACCGACTGTCGCATCAAAATAATTTCCGAAATAGCAGACCTATAGCGTGTATAGTGAAAGAACACAGCTGTTGACTTTGAACATTTATTTACTAAGCACGCTGGTGGGCAAGTGAGAGGTAAAAGCCTAGTCAAGCACACGTCAGGACATTCATATTCCAATACCGCTCTATGGAGGATGAGAAACTTACGAACCATAAAGAAAGTACATTTCCTGCTTGATTACACGCTCCGTCCTTCTGTATTCCTTAGTCACTAACCGCCTCTTAGTGACCATAGTATTCATCGCATGTTCTGTGTTGTTGAGACTCTACGCTCTTGGGGCTGGTAACCAGTAAAACACAAAACTTCGGATGTCCCCACCTATATATTTCCCCCTTTAAATTACCACATCTCTTTTCTTCCAGTATGTTTATCCTTTCAGGGAAATTCACCACATATTATTTTGTTTACACATATATACCGTATCGTAGCACACCTATTTTTCCATGATAGACAAATCGTTGACACACAGAAAATTGATAATTCCACTGCCAGTTGTCCCAACTTAACACAGTGGAGCCGCTACTATGTTGTTCCTTGAAATACCAATTCACCGTGATGCTGTGTTTTGAGTTTTAGCAGAATTAAATAAATTAGTCATTCACGATGAAATTCTGAAACACATTGGCATTCAGGAGTTCCTCTGATGAACTGCAGGTTTACTGGACAGCTGATACTTGAATTATCACAACAAGCTAAGCAACAGAACCACATAACGTTAACGAGAGTAAAATAGGCGAAATCGTGTGTTCAAATCAGTATAAATGCAGTGTGCAGCTTTGAATTACAATGGTCCATGTATAGAATTTATCAGACAATTCAGTAAAAATGTAAACAAAATCATTCTGTCTATATAGCATTCGACAAATTTATTGGCTTGCCACGCTAATATTTACCATTGGCAATACCACTCTGCTTCTTTAATCTGAAGTGAGTTTAGCTTCAGGGCACCTAAAAGCGTGTCAGTTGTATGATTTGGAGATGGGCTATCGTTTTAATATTTTCTTAGCTGTGGATTATGTCAAATATTCTAGCGATTTCTTTTGACGTGG